TGGATTGTGCATCGCCGCTGGGGGTGCATTTCCGTGACAAACGGCTGAGTCCTTACTCCGGCATTCCCATAAATGCCTGTTTAACGCGAGTCACGGAGCTGCGTAAATCATGGACTTCTCGTTCATTGGCAGTGACAAAATTTGGGGCTGTTGGGATCATTTTGGGAAGGACGTGTTTTATTTGACCTGGGACAAAATGTTTCACATGTTGCTGGAGCCTTTCTGGGAGGGTTCTCGTTCCTCGTGAAATCGAGTTGGAAGAACTGGCGAAACAGCAAAAGCTGCTATTGGGATTTGGGAAACGTCAGCATGAAACCGGACGACTTTCACCTTTTTTGCACACAGTTCAGCAAAACTGAGATGAATTCATGAACAGTCTCTCCCTGGGAACGGGCATTTTTCACCGGAGCCAGACGATACGGCCGATAACGCGATCGGGGGATAATGGCGCTTATCCAGCATGCCCGTAGCACCGGTGATGCCCGGGGCGAAAGCAAAGTGATTTCATTACCTTCTTCGTATGGCAGCACATTCAGTTCCTCGGAGAAAGGCCGCTTCTGCATTACAAATGCCTCAACAAAGAGCCCCAGGCCGTTCACCTCAGAGAAGTACGGGTCGGGCCCCGGGGCTGCAGCAGCTTCGGGTCCAGTAAAATGCCCGATGAAGGTCTGGCTCTTCCCCGTCTGGGAAATGACGGCTGTGGTAAAGGAGCTGGTGCACGGACACGTCTGTGGTGGGAGCCATCAGGCAGACGGGGGCATCTCCCAGATCGGAGCGCAGCATCTGCACTTGCAAGGCAGAGGGCGAGCGGCTGGTATCCCGTGGTTGGGGAGAGGAAACATGGTGCACGGGAGTCACGAGTGCAGCAAGGCCTCAGCCGGATCCCCCGAGCGGCGGTGCTGAGGCACGTGCAATGGCAGGGAGGATGCGACCAAGGCAAGGGGGGAAGAGCCGCGCACCCCAGCTAACACCGACCCAGTGCGAGGAGGTCTGCCCCGCATGCCCCTAATACAGGGCAGTTGCAATGAGGGTTAAAAGCTCCTTCTCTTTTCTTGGTGCAAGTCCAGGGCTTGCCCCCAAAGCCAGATTCTCATGGAGGTGAACCAGACCCACGGGGGCAGCCCCATGGCCAGGCCACGGCTGTCATGACAGCGTGGCCTCCACAGCTGACGGAGGGCCGTGACCAGGGCCAGATTCTCCACTGGTGGCTTCAATAGAGCTTTCCCCTTTATCCCAGCACCAGATCTGGCCCCACGTGCCTCCATGCTACAGCGGCAGAACAGGAGGGAGGGCCACATGTGACAGGCTCCTTGGCCGAGCCACGAGCAAAGCCGCTGTGCAGCTTTGTTGGGGGTCGCTGCCCTGGTGCAGTTACTTCACCCGTTTGCACCCAGCAAGTGAAGCTAAACCTCGGCAATGTGCCCCTTCTCGTCCAGTGGGATGTGGCTACCGCTCAGCTTCACCTAGGCGTGGCCAGATGTGACACAGATGTGAATCGGATCAGCTGATCCGGTAAGGGCCCCGCACATGCTTGAGCATTGCAGCTGTCCGTGCCCAGCGGTGACCTGGAGAGGACCGAGCTTGGCTGGCAGATCCCAGCACCACGGGAGGTTGCTTTTCTTTAAGAGCTAATTGGATTTGGCACCCTCCGAGGGAGCCCAGGTGGTTTGTTTGTCCAGCACATACTGTTTCAGCCCATGTTTCCAGGAATTGGCCGTACATTAGCGCTCAGCTTATCAGTCTGGCATTCACTCCATTGGCAAGTATTTCTCACTTCTTTTACATGGTAATCTGATTTAACAGCTGGATGTGCAATGTCCCCCACAAAGCATGCCTGTGTAATACTCCAGCCCTGCCTAATCTTACAGCAGGGCCAACGCAGTGCTTTCCAGCAGCGAGAGACAACAGATGCACTTTACCCCACGGCATAGCCTGGACGTGGGGTACAGAGCACAACGCCGCGGCCATCACAGCGTAGCATATGTTGTGTACTTGTCCCCTTTGTGGGTGGACAGAAAAACAGTCCAAGCAACCCGGCTCAGTGTGACATGAGCCTCTTGGAGTCCTCCGGGCAGCCCCGGGCCTTCAATAAGACGGCAAAACACAAGAGCTTCCCGCAGAGCCGCAGGCCCGGGCAGGACGGTGCCAACTCCCAGCAAAGATGTGTCAGGGTCCGGGGCTGCATTTCACCGGCCCCATCAGGGCCCGTGTGTTTTCTTATTCCAGACTTGCCTCTGAAGGTTCAGCGTCTCCAAAAGCACCCCAAACCGGCTCCGTGCTCTGCCCAGGGTTATCTCCATCATGCTTTTTTGAGCAAAAACACTGCTGGTGTTCGCTGTCCCGGCCAGCTTGCAGCCCGTGGCCTTTTCTGGTCTGAACCAGTCCAGGCTGGAGAGGAGGTGATGCTATCCAAACCAGTATCCCCGGCATCCTCCTTAACAAGTCACCACTGTTTGCTGAGGAGGGCCGGCTCTCTCGTGCTGTTCATTGGTGCACTGGGCTGAGTCAAGGTGTGAAAATCCCGATGGGCAAGCTGGTGTATTAATAGCTTACTGCAGGGCAGCCCCCCACGGGTGCTGCCTCCCGGTAGGAGCCAGCAGTCAGCAGCGTGGAGCGGGCTTCCCTCACTAGCTGCTGCCCAACCTCCTCCCAGGTGCCCGACTGTGTTACAGAAGCTGGTAGGAGATATCCTGCATCTCAGTAGCTAATGTTTTATTAGCCCTGAGGACCTTGAGAGCTGGATAATAAATCTCTGTGGGGTTGCTGCATCGTGCTGCTAAGGCTTCGGGTGCAGCTGCCTCTCGGCCTGGGACACTGCTGCCCCGAGGAGGGATGTGTTTGCACACTGGGAGTCGGCGCCAGTGGAAGACAGCTGCACCGCGCTGCGTTGTGCAGCAGAGAAATGGCAGCAAAGGCTCCTCACATGCACACAGTCCTCAGCTGGAGGATGAGGACTGGGCCCTGTGTTGCTCGAACATGGGGGAAGCCTTTGGTGGGGAGCTGAGACCTTGTGGTTCCAGGAAATAAGTGTTTCGCGTGAAGCCTTGTTTTCAAAATCATGGTCACGGACACCGAGGGAGCTCAGGAGGTCACATCTAGTCCAGCCCCTGCTCCAAGCAGGACCAGCTCCAACTGCATCATCCCAGCCAAGGCTTGGTCTACCCGGGCTTAAATACCTCCAAGGATGGAGAGTTCACCACCTCTCTGGGGAGGCTGTTCCAGGCTTCACCACCCTCCTCGTGAGAGAGTTTTTCCTAATATCCAACCTCAACTTGCCTTGCTGCAGCTGGAGCCCATTGCTCCTTGTCCTGTCGTCTGCCCCCACTGAGAGCAGCCCAGCTCCATCCTCTTTGCAGCCCCCCTGCAGGGAGGTGAAGGATGCTATCACATCCCTGTTCAGTCTTCTCTTATGCAGACTCAATCAGTCCAGTTCCCTCAGCGAGTGTAAAAGCCTGGAGGTGCAATTTGACTCTCAGGTGGGACCGATGGAGCGGTCCTTCCAGCCCAGCCCCTGCGAGGTGCCTGCAGCCCGAGCAGCTCAGCCATCCTGGAGTCCGGAGCAGGATTTTTACTGGGATGCAGCTGAGGATCAGGTCACAGGCTGATGAGATGGCTGATGAAAAGACTGCGTCAGTCTAGCTGGGACAGATGGAGCCAGGTGGATGAGAGCGGTGAGACCAGGAGGTGGCAAATCGGAGGCAGTAGCAGTAAAGTAAGAGGGTGATTAATGGTCTCGGTGTTCCCAGAGGGGCAGGGGTTTGTCAACAACACTTCAGTGCTTCACATGGCACCTTTTGTGAGGTGCGGGAGTGGTGGTTTTATAGATCCTGGGCAGGAAGGAAGCAGCGAGCAGTGGAGTGGTGGGCTGTAAGGTCAGGCTTTTCTTGCACAAAGAACGGGAGTTAATGCCAGGATGGGCTGAAACCAGCCCACGTGGACGAGACATAAGGGATGCCATTGACTGGCTCAGAACCAAGGTCTATCTTGCCCAGTCCCCTGTGTCAGGGACGCTAAGAGAAGAGTGACTGGGATTTTTCCCCTGTTCCTCTCTCCCCTGCAGCCTCCAGCATTGAGGGTGCAGGCAGGTGTGATGCAGAGGCCGTGCCCCTCACTCCCCTACTCAATAGCGATGATGCCCCTTTCCTCCAAGAAGATGTCCAGTCCCTTAGTGAATCTGGCTGACCTCTCAGCTTCCTCCGCATCTGGTTGCAAGGAGTTCCACACTTTCATTGCACGCTGCAGTGCATACATACAGAAGACTACTGTGCAGTCGTTACTGTGCGTTTATTCAGTACTTGTATTAGCAAATACTAAATAAATACTCAGTGATCGGCATTACTTCACAGTCGAGGATTAGCACTGACCATGTGACGTGCTACTGTGCAACATTGTTCAGTTACTGCACAGTCCGCATCTCGTGCAGACGTGCCCACTGTGCAAAAATACTTCTTTGTGTTAGTTTTAAACAGACTGCCCACTCATTTCGTGCTTGGTCTTGTCTGGTGAGAGACGGGAAATAATCAATCCCTACTGACATTCACTTTCCCATTTATAAACCCTTCTCCTGCCCCTCTTCAAGTGTCTCTTTTCTAAGCTGAACAAGCCTGGCCTCTTCAGTCCCTCCGCATAAGAAGGCCCTTCTGTACCCCTCATTGCTGTGTTGCCCTTCTCTGCACCTTTTCTATTTCTCTCTATCCTTTGCAAGGTGCAGAGACCAAACCTGGGTGCAGGATTTGAGGTGTGGACACCCCAGGGATTTACAAGGGGCCTCATGATCCTGTCAGCCTCATGGAGGGTGGGGGTCAGTGCAGCAGCGTCAGTGCTGTCTACCCAGGTTCAAGAAAGTGTGTGTGGAAAGCACTTGATAAACATAGTTTATGAGTCCACATGATGAATCATCAAACCAGTCCCTGCTGACTCTTACAATGAGAGCAGTGACTGACACCACAGCTTACTCCAAACCAAATTTTGGCACTTCCTCACTTGTTTCTTGAGATTCAGCTAAGCCTGATGGTTGAAAAATCCTTGTGCTGTGACTTAGAGTGGTCCCAAGGGGAAGTGATTGATTATAAAACACATGGACTGTAGGAAACTCTCCAGCGCTAAAAAAACCCAACACACTGGCTGATCTGAGCCGGCACATGACTGCCGGCTGAAGGGAGGCAGCACTCCTGTGTGGGGCATGCACTAAGGCACATGACAGTCCCCCAGGTAAGATTTTTTTTTTGCTGTTTTAAGATACTGGCCTTGCATTGCCATATACCTTGCTGTTTGCTTTTAGTGCATTTTGCAAACGTGTGTGTGTGTGTGTGTGTGTGTGTGTGTGTGTGTGTGTGTGTGTGTGTGAGACAAACCACCGTGGCTCTGTCTGAAAAGTGCCTGCTTGCTCTATGTTTGGCATGGGAAAGTTGTGCTGAACTTTGTAGCTCTGCTAATGAGCAGGTGTGAACCCCACAGGTAATTATAGCCGGTGCTTTTCACACCACAGGGAATGCCTCTCTGCTGCTGCGCAGGGATCTGTACAGGCCAGGTGGGGTTTGCTTAGATCCTCACAGCTGATCATTCATCTTTGTGTGCCTGCCTCTCGTGGTTGGGCTGTCGGTGCCGCATGGGTCTGGCACCGTCCCGCTGTGCTTTATGAACGGCAGGAACACCTCTGTGCTGTGAGGTGTGTCCTATAGGAGCCCCTTCAGCCACACACCTGCCTGGTGAGGTGTCAAGGGGATTGTTTCACTCACCTCCGAGATGCCATCCATTGCAGCACCCTGTGACCGGTGCAGCTGGGCAGGGAAACCCTTGGACCCAGCAGCAGCAAGAGAGCCAGAGACAGGTCAGTGAATTGAGCAGGGAGGAAGACAACAGGATAGCTGGGTTTCAGGTCCTTTTCCCTGTATCTCAGGGCTGGTTTGGCTTTCCTAGGTTGGTGAGTCCAGTTCTTGTGCTGAACTTCCTGACTCTCATTCATCAGTGGATGTGAGCCTCACCGCTCGTGACGTCTGGCGTGTGTCACGCTGCAGCGTGTCCTTTCACAAGTCCTTTACTATAGGGGATTGTTTCCAAGGACCTGCCCTCCACTCCCCATCACCTTCCCCTTCTGTGCTCTTCCGCTGCATGGCACCATCTCCCTCTACTCATCCTAGCACTGAGAAATGCAACCTGCTTTATATTTTAGGCGCCTGATTTCCATGTTTCCAGCTTGTGCTGGCAGGGGGCACCGCCAAGCCAACCCCCAGTGGGAAGAGCTCGGTGCAGAAGGGTGACCCATGTCCGTTCACCACAAAGAAGTATCTGCCAGGGGCTGTTGAAGTCTTAATGCAGTGGATTTCTCTGCTGCTCTGTAGGGAGTGTCCCTGGGGCTGCGTCGCCCTGCCGAGCTTCTCTTCCACTCAAATTCGGCTGCTGAATGCTAGTCATAGAAACATAGAAAATGAGGGCTGGAAGGGACCTGCAGAAGTCACATCTAGTCCAACCCCCTGCCTGAGGCAGGATCAGGCCTGTCCAAACCAGCCCAGACAATCATCATTTAAACTCTACATAGGACAGCCATCAACCTTGACATAACACCTGAACCTGCCACAGGTAAAGCAGGGAAACCACGGCAGCCAACGTCCGGCTCCTGTGACATGTCAATATATGCTTAAGAGATCCCAGGTAGAGGCTGTGCTCGCACTATAAAGAAAGGCAACCCACCCTGCATCTGTACCCATCTGACCATGAGGACAAAATCTGGCATCAGTCTGACCCTGAGCAGAAGGGCAAGGCCCTTGAGCCAGGATCCTCCAGCTTTAGTCCCAGCAGAAGCATTGGCCCAGCACAGCCAAGCCCCCAATGCCTCTGGGAAGGTCTAAAAACACCCTGACATAGGTAGCAGAAAAGCAGGGGGTGAGTTAGGGCTCGGGTTCTGGAGGGAGACTTCAGGAGCAAAGTGAGAGAGCTGGCTGTACAGTACCGTAAACCCCGTATGGAAAGCAGGTGGAAGGCAGGGTAAATCTGCTATCCTGCTTTATAGATTAGCTAAATAAAATACACAGCGCATGTCGACATGTGCACTTTAATGCGCCTTAGCACTGACAGTGCACCCCCTGAAACTGCCTGCCACCGACAGTGCCAGTGGCGCCCGTGGGCAGTCACTGCTCGCCACCCCCCCACCGCCGGCGGTGTCTGCGGGTGGTTGCCGACCACCTGCCAGAGCTCACCCCCTGCCATCCTCCTGCTGCCGACATTGCTGCGGCCGCCTGATGTATTAGCATCATCGAGTCCCCGCTCGACCTGCCCGCGCCCCCAACGTCAGCTTGCGGGACCTACCTGCTCATCACTGCCACGCTGCCGCCGCCACTGGCAGGCGGGCACCCTGGCCCCCCCGCCTTAGGAGGCACGAGCCCCCCCCCCCCCCGCCACTGGCAGGCGGTCACCGTGCCCCCCCAGCCTTAGGAGGCACGAGGCATTCATGAGCATTACCCTATTTTAATGCGCATTAAAGCATCACTAAAAACATGCTTTTTTAGTTAATGTGCATTAAATTAGGCTAATGCATCACTTAAAAACCATGGACATGTCTACATGTTTATTAATGCTCTTTAGGTAATGAGGTACTAGAAAAATGTGTGTTAGCCTGTTTTAATACGCATTAGCATAGGGCATTTTTACCCGTGTTGTGGGACGCAGTGCTGGGCACTTTGATTAGCAAGCCACCCTAGCTAAAAGTGCCAGCGTATCACATGTATTAGTGTCGCTGTGAGTCCCCGTGCTGAAAAAAGTGACAGTGAGGCTCTTTGAACTAAAGCACATTGAACGTGTTTTATCTCAAAGCGCCCCGCCACCACTTTTTAGCGCAGACGCCTGGTGATGCTGATCCGTGATGTGGAAGGCTGCTGCAGCTCGTCAGTTTTCGTGCTCCAGCAGACTCGATTAATTGAGTCTGCTCCAATGCGCTGGATTTCCAGCGTGCTGGAGCAGGCTCCACGTACGTGTATAGGAGCCCGTAGTTTTTTTGTGGTGCTTTAACGTGCATTAAAATAGAATAATGCACATTGAAGTACACATGTAGACATGCCTGGTGCTCTTTAGTTAATGCACGTGGAGACAGGTTAATGCGCATCTCACAGTGAGGGTATTAGATTTCATGAGCATTAACTAAAGCGCATTAATGCATGTGTAGATGCTCCCACAGAGAGGGTGAGCACAAGCAGTTGTGAAGCCACGTTCCCCTCATCAGGTGCTGTGGAAGGACATCACAGATCCGGGGCTGAGCGGCGTGGGCGACGGGGGTACAGCAAGTGGGAAACCAGGAAGGACGGACAGCGCTGGGAGCAGCAAAGCGGCCAAGACCCAAGAGCGGCACAGGGGTTGTCACACAAGCTAATCCAGGTACTGGGACGAGACTCGGTATCCCCTGTTTAGCTCATACGTAATCCAGTCCACTCCGGGGGCCCTTTCTTCTTGCACAGTTTCCTGTTCAAACTGGGGTTTTTTAGACATTTTTCCTGCCTGAAGACAGCAGTCCTGAGGCCAGGCAGGGAGAGTCCCGGGAGGCAGAAGTCTTCTGCCACCAGTGTCTGGTTTGATTTCATAGATTTCATAGACATCAGGGCTGGAAGGGACCTCGGAAGATCATCGAGTCCAGCCCCCCGCCCAAAGGGCAGGACGTCAGCTGGGGTCATAGGATCCCAGCAAGATAAGCATCCAGTTTCATCTTGAAGGTGTTCAATGAAGGTGCTTGAACCACCTCCGGTGGCAGGCTGTTCCAGACCTTGGGGGCTCGGACAGTAAAGAAGTTCTTCCTTATGTCCAGCCTGAAACGATCTTGAAGTAGTTTGTGACCATTCGACCTCGTCATCCCTTGGGGCGCTCTGGTGAACAAACGTTCCCCCAGATGCTGGTGGTCACCCCTGATAAACTTGTAGGTGGCCATCAGATCACCCCTGAGCCTGCGCTTTTTCAGGCTAAAGAGCCCCAGGGCTCTCAGCCTGTCATCGTAGGGTCTGCTTCCCTGACCTCTGATCATGCGCGTGGCTCTTCTCTGGACTCTCTCAAGCTTCTCCACATCCTTTTTGAATTGTGGAGCCCAAAACTGGACACAGTACTCCAGCTGAGGCCTCACTAAGGCCGAGTACAGGGGGAGAATGACGTCCCGAGACTTGCTTGAGAAGCATCTATGGATGCAAGCCAGCGTTTTGGTCGCTTTACTAGCCGCCGCATCGCACTGCAGGCTCGTGTTCATGTTGTGGTCAATGATGACCCCCAAGTCCCTTTCTTCCATTGCGCTAGCCAGCGTAGCACTGCCGAGCCTATAGGGATGCTGCAGGTTTTTCCTGCCAAGGCGGAGAGCCTGGCATTTGTCAGTCCGTGCCGTTCTGCAGCGGATGTCAGCTGGACGCTCATTCACGCAGCCCCGGGCGTCTTCTCTTAACATGACGCACTTGGCCGGTGAATTCGGGGAAGAGCTCAATACCCGTCACAGAAGCCAATCGGCTCTGGCACCTGGGGCTGATTAGTCGCAGTCTGTAGACCAGGATGCCGTAGGACGGCAAATCCCGAGTTTGGGTCATTGGAGCCAGTACAGGGCCAACAACTTTGTAATGTCTTTTATTTTTAGTGTTGAATGTGTGTTTCTAATAAGCCCTGCCTGCTCAGGTCTCAGCACCGGGGAGTGGAGACGCTCCCATTTCACAGGGCTCCTGGGGGCAAGTGGAGTCCTGCAGCGTAAGCTGCCACGACTCTCAGACTCTGGGAATCCACCTCTGCTTTCCATCCGGCCAAAGTTTGCAGGAGTCCTTGAGGCAGCTCCCATCCTCCCCACAGACTCTTAACAGGCTTGTTTTCCAGATCCCGGGGCTTTTTGCCCAGATCCCCAGGCCACCCCCATCGCGACGCTTGAGGGGACCCTCTTGGTGTCCCTTGGACCCCTTCCCACATGCTCTGAGCCAGTCAGGACACGAGACACTTGCCCTCTTATGCATGTCTTCCTTGGAAATTTCCTTCATCTAACAGCAAGGATTTGTTTAAAAACAAAAAAAGCCCCAAAAGAAAGCAAAGAGTTTTTTTCTTTGCAGCTCTCAGCCACCAAAAACTGAGATTTTTTTTTTTTTTAATTGAAAGCATACAATTTGGGTGGAGCAGGCCAAAGATTCAGCAGATGCGGTTTCCAAAAACCAGCCAGCATTTCATTGTCTCCAGGTTTCCCCTGGGACCCTGAGCCAGAGGGCCCTCGTGCCAGAAGTGCTCGTTTTGATGCCAAGTGCGTGGCCTGTTTCATGTCTGCATGGGTGACCAGCGCCCGGGGAGCCGGTGCTCGTCCCGATTCAGGGTTTCTCTGGAAGCTCCCCACTAGACTCTGTTGTGACCGCAGATAACGATCACTTCCGATTTAGTGCCGTCTTAGTCAGAAACTATTTGGAACGGAGCCAGGTCCATCCTCGTTGCTAAATTCATTATGAAAAGCCTATGCGGAAATGAATAATCCGTGGTTGATAAAAGATGAAATGCTTGCAGAGTGGTTATCTGTGCTTATCACACATCAAGCTGTCCTTCAGCTCATTGCTCATCCTGAAAACTATAACTCTGCTTGTTTTCTAGCCTACTGCTCCTCCGGCCAAATACACCGTCCCCGAGGACCGTCGCATGGAAATGGGTGTCTGGTGGATCGTCGTGGTCTCCCCTCTCCTGCTTTGGTGCTGCGAGGGATCCTCAGCTCACCAGCTTTCAGGTAAACCGGGTGTTGGTGCTCGGGGCATGCTTTTGCCTACTGTATGTGGCAGATGCATCTTCCTCTGGCCCGGAGAGTGGCCAGACCCCTCCAGACGAGTTGACCTGCCTCTTGCAAACTGCGGGGCCGGGGGCTGTGCTTAGAGACCTTTCTCTAATGGGAAGTGTGCAATGAACTTCAAAGCGGGGACCGGGCTGCAGATGCACCGCACAGAGCCGCGGCGTTCGAGGCACTCGGGGTCTCTGGTAGGAGCGCTTGCAGCCGTGTCCCGAGCACAGGTCGAGTCCCAGGGAGGAGAAGGGAGGTGGGCTTTCAATGCACATCATCTGGGCGCCGTGGACTCCTTTGAACAGTGCCCGGCCTCCCCTACAGCGACCGCAGCTCCTGCTCAGCGCCTTCTTAGGGGGGGACCCCTGCTCTCACCTGAGCGACTTTCCTCCATAAGATGTGGCTTTAGGACTAGCTTCTTGATGCTCCCAGCCTGCTGTGACACGGCTTCCCCAAGCTCCGTTTCCTTCTCTCCCTGCAAACGCTGTACCTGCCTTCCTGTGGTGCTGCCTAAGGAGCCAGGGGATGGCTAATTGGCCCTGTCTCCCAGCAGTGCTAATTAGCCTGCCTGCAATGGCAGGAAGGAGTTGGTCCGGGGGGTCCTAGGAAAGGGGCCATGCCCCGTGCGACAGAGGAAAGTTGAGCGCCCACAGGCCAGGCCTGTCTGCCCTAGGGGAAAGTTTCCTTCCTGGTCCCAAGACCGTCTAGCCAGGAGCTGCTGGGTTTCCCCGCGTTGGCTGGAGCATCCCTGCGTCCCAGGCAAGACCCGCAGCCTTAGCGGTGGCCACCGTCTCAGTGCCTCAAAAGGCATCTGAGATGGCATCAAGGACCGCGGATGCTGCTGCCCTCAGGCTGCTTTCGTGGCGAAAAGCATTGCAGATGCTTTGGGAGGTCTGCGGGGCCCTGGAGATCTCCATTTCCGAGGGGCTGAGTTATTCAGCAGATGCCTGGGTTTATTCCAGGGTTGGGGGCCCTGGGAGACAGCAGGACCCCCGCAGCATGCACCTCGCTGGTTCTTGCCCGTAGCAGGTCTGGCCACTGGCAGGGTTACTGGGGGAAGCTGAAAGCCTTGAGCTCCAGGCTTGAGCGCCGTCGCTACAGGCTGAGCCCAGAGCAGTTAAACACGGGAGTGAAGCCCACTGCCAGGAAGGCTCCAGCGCCAGCAAGTAAATTATGCTCTCATTGCACCTGAAGAAGCCAAAATTGGTATCCTGGTTCTCGGGGTGGCGCAGATACAAACAAAAGAAAAGGAAAAAGGATCTAAGACATTGCAAAACTGACTCTGGTTTAACCCAGCAGAGCTTGAAGGGTTGCAGCCGTCTTAATTAGAGCAGCAGGCATTCTCACGGATGAGCTGGGGACCTGGGAGACCGATGGATGCAATCCAAAAGCTCCTTTTGTTTTAAAGCAATGGTTAGCTTCATAATGAAGTACATTTTAAAAATGATACTTTAATAAGAGCCAGGCTGAAAAATAGCAGGAAGGTATTTTCTGCAGCAGGACGTGCCCCAAATCCAAACGATGCCCGTTTGTGTCCTGACTTACCGCGGCGCGTAGCTCCCTTCTCCCGCGTCGGACAAAGATCCAATGTGCTGAGAAGAGACGCTCGGGCGAGATGAGCTCCTGGTCGCTGACACTGGAGAGCCGCGGCACGTCTTCCTGACGGACAAGTCTGAGCAAATCGTCCCGTGCTGATACTCACGCCGGACGGGATGTTTGCAATTAAGTGGGCGTTGCAGGCACGTGTATGTCCGGGAAGGAAGATGGCAGTTCTGCATGGCTGCTAAACACTTTGAACCGAGCCCAAATAGTCTGTTTTTCACCCCAGATGAAGTTGCATGTTTATAGTGGTACACCGAGGCCCCCAACCTGCCCCCCGCAAGCCAGCTTCGGAGATCACCGCAGCTAGACGGTGACCGGGAACCAGAACGTGGTGTCATTTAAGAAACCTTTGGACTTTTTTTAGTCTCTTTAAGTTAACTGTGTGTTTTTTCTGCCTGTTTTCCCCACTTCAGTCGACCCCCCACAAGATCTTCAGATAGTCGACCCTGGACTCCTAGGCCATCTCTACATGCAGTGGAAGCCCCCGCTTTCCCTGGAGGCCTCCCACCAATGTCCTTTAACGTACAAGCTAAAATACCGCAGCGCCGGCGATACGGACTGGAAGGTGAGATAAGGCGCAGCCCAGCGATGTGCAGGGTGTTCCTGTTGCTTCCTCTTTATTTCACCCATCGATTTTTCTCTTTAAGTGAACGGTGAGAAGATATTAGAATAGCGACAGCTATTTGCTGTGACGGAGTCGAGCGCCCGGGAACTGCTGCAGGGTCCGACTCTGCCCCGAGTAACCCCACCATTGCTCTGCAGGGCCCCTTCCCGTCTTTGCAGGGCTTCTCACAGCTGCTTCGTGCTCTACCGCTGCTACTCGGCCGGGCCCCACGGGGCGAGCAGTCGGCGTTGAGCAGCAAGGCACAGCAAACCCCCGGGGATTTGTGGCGAGCAAACTCCCATCCATAAAAACAAAGCTCCAGTGCAATGCACCCTGATGGCTAGAGATCAGCCCCGCGGGTGAGGCGCTGTTCACGGCTGCACGAAACACCGGCCGCGAAATAAAAGACAAGCCCCGATGACAGGAGCAGCTGCCGGTGGTGAGCTAACGAAGCACTCGTGGCTCAGGAGTCGTGGTCTGAATTCACGGTGCTACAGGCCTCATTGCTCTGATTTTAACTTGGCCTTGCACTTAAGTCAACCTCACTTGTTCAGGTTTAATTACAGGAAAGCCGGCTTTTTCCCTGAATCTCCACTGATGTTCCTGCCAGGGTCAACCCAAAATTGGGCATCACAGCACAAGTCAAGAACAAGTGTTGGGCACCCAATGATAGGCCAACCCTGCGCATGAGTTGCATGCTATTTTATGGACTCAAAACTCGTGGAAGAGGTGATATCTTTTATTAGACCGACTAGATATTTGCAAACAAATTATTTGATTTATTTGCAAGCTTTTGGGCGCGCTCACCCTTCATCAGGCATAGGAGAGAGCGGAGATTGTAAAAGTTCTTCTAGGTAGAAATGAAACGAATGAATTCATATGAATTTTCATTTCTACCTAGGCAGACTTTTACAATCTCTGCTCTCTCCTGTGCTTGATGAAGGCTGTGTGCGCCCGAAAGCTTGCAAATAAATCAGTTAATTTGTTTGCAACTATCTAGTCGGTCTAATAAAAGATATCACCCTTCCCCCGGTTTCGATTCCTTTTGCCTCTAGACCAATACGGCTACAACCTGGATACCTGGCACATGTTGTTTTATGGCTCTTTTTAAAAGCAAAAGGCCCAGTTCAACCATATGCTAAAAGGAAGCTTAAATTTGAACGCAAAAATCTAAAACTCTTGGTTCAGAGATGACACCTTTTATTAGACCAACTGAGAAACTGCAAAAAAAAAAAAAGAAAGATATTTTTCTGCAATTAGATTAAATTTGATGCATCTCCTAGCCTTCTAATATTTCTTTTATCCGGGAAAGGTTTTGGTAATGACCTCTTCCTTTTAACCGGGTGCTGTAGCTGGAATCAAAGCCATCTATGAAGCAGACTTGCCTTTCGGGTCTCATGACAGGGAAGACACAGGTTTGTGCGAGTCCTGGTCCTGCCACGTCCCAGAGAGGCTTTCCAGCCAGCATCTAGACATCGGGTCGGGGCAGGAGCCAAATGAGAGACTGCGGCATCGAGGCAGCCTGGACTCGCACGACCGCTAGCTACGAGCCCGGGGCTCGCCGGGCTGTCTGCTCACGAGAGCCGCACAGAGCAGGGATAAGCAGGCGCGGTCTCCCCCATCCTCCTCACAAATCCAGCTGCTCTTGCTAGCGAGAAGGAAGAGGGAGCTGGCATGATGCATCTCCCTTGTTTCTGGTCACCACCCCCAGCTCATTTCCACTTGCATTTTGGTATAAACCTCTCTCCGCCAGGGCCGTTTGATCCTGAGCCTGCCTGCCCGTTTCATGTGCTCCCATGCCCGCTGCAGGGAAGGACAGGAGCAGGGCAGCCTACACCAATAGGACTAGCAAGACGGCTGCTTTTGGGGCACGGCTCTGCACTAGGGTCTGTTCGGGAGGGGGTTTGCACTTTGCCCTGCTAATGTCTTGCACTGCCGACCGATGAGATGCAAGCCCGGTTAGGTCAGGGCAGGATCAATGCTTTCCTATAGTGGGGTGGTCCTCTTCATGCAGAGGGCTGAAGGCACGGTTGTGGGTGCGCACCAGGCAGGAAAGGAAAGGAGCAGTACGGTGCCAACACAGCACGGGGCGTGAAGGGCAATGTAAAGCCCTGAGATTTATCATCATTTCCTCTGTCTCAACCCAGGTTATCTTTACTAAGAAATTAAAATATGGAGACAGTTTTGACCTCAACCGGCCGGTGGAAGCAAAGGTGCAGACGCTGCTGGAAGGACCCTGTGCCAATGGATCGGAGGTGCAAAGCGAATGGACTCATGCCAGCTTCCAGCTTCCTTCGCAAGGTTAGGAGCGGGTAGCATCCCGGCCTGAAAGCACGCATCTAACCCACCAGTGCTGGACTGACGATCCCAGTATACAGTCGGCGCCGCCCCAGTAACACTGCACCCCCTGAGCTGCGGTGGACACCGCGTGCCCTGTCCAGCTCCCAGAGCGGGGGCAGATGCCGCTTTTGTTGGGGGGGAAACTGTTCTGTCCTGCGACAATTTGCAAGCATACAGATGCACACGGTCTCTGTCCAATGCAGCCAAAATGCATGGGTTAAAGAGCGTGTTGTTCTCCGCTCGTGTCGGCCCTTTCTGGGTTAGGAAACTGGTGTTGGCTCTGGGAGGGTCGCTGTCTTGCAGCTCGCGAGCCCCGCAGCTCAGCCTCAGAGGCTCGGTGCCTTCCTCATATCCATTTCTGCTGCTCTGCCCCACTTACGCCCTATGGTTCCCCGCCAGCGCCCCCAAAGTAGCAGTCGTGCTCCTTTAGCCTACACAGTGGCTTTAGCCAGCGTCCCCGAAACCCTCGGCAAAGCCTCCCAGAGCTCCCGGCAGAGTCCGAAACAGCAGGGTTGGAGATGTGCAACTTGCGGCCTCTTTCAGCGCGTGGTCAAAGTCAGTCGATCGCTCTCTTAATGCGACGTGCAGGGGTGTTGGGGGGGGTCTGGGGCCTCCCCGGGGCCCACGAGGATGTTTCTTTGAAGGGGGCCTCCAGGCCGCTACAGTTGTCGTCTCCTTCCCGTGTCACAGGCGCGCTGGAGTCGCGGATCCAGGACTTCCGCTGTGTCTACTACAACTGGGAGCATCTTCGCTGCACCTGGCAGGCGGGCCGGCAGGCGCCTCCCGGGGCCCGTTACGAGCTGTATTATTGGTATGTACCATCCCGGCGGGCAAGCACGTGAGTTGGGGTGCTGCGTCCCATCCGTGCCCCGGATAAACGTGCATCGCTGTCCAAACCATCCTATACAAGGACGCAGCCCAGAGAGCTCAGCTGCTCTGTCCCGTTACTCGCGGAGCCCAGACGCGAGTCTCTTGGGAGTCTAGGCCTGTCCGACGTGCTAATGCTTGTTCCTCCTCTGCAATCCAGCTGCTCACCATCCCTAAAATCTCTCTCGTACAAGGAGCTGGGCCACGAGGGTGCAGCAATGCCGGCCCTTGGGGGTGGGCTCCATGCACACCAGCTCCTCCTGCCAGTCCCTTTACCCCACTGAACATCCTGGTCCTGGGAACAAGAAAAAGGTCAGGCTTTTGGTTTGAAACCGAAGTAAATGGGCGCGATGCAGAAATGAGCTGCTGACAAGTCCAAGCTTTCAATTTCTTCCTGTAACTTGGACATCGGAGAAAGTTCCTGATGTATTTTATAGCAGCTACATCATTTTGGCAAATCTAGTAAAGCACAAGCTCGGCAAACACCCAGTTTCTGAAAACATAATGTTTTAGCAACAGAAAGCCCAAAGGCTACTTGGAAAATGTGACCCAGGCGTGGAAGCGAGTCTTGGCCAGTCCTCAGCACAGCGGCTTGCGAGCGGGGGGCGGGTGGAGGCGCGGGGGGCGAGGCCGTGACGCCGTCGCCTCTCGGCGATTCGGGGACCAAGGCGTCACAGGGACTGCAGCGTTTCCAGCAGCTCGGTGAGCCCCGTCTCAGCCGCCGCGGCCTGGCACCACCAAAGCAGTCGACAGGCCCAGACGCTGGCAAGCCAAGGACGTGGGCTCCCGGACGCACCGTGCGTGTCCAGCCCTGACAGCCCGCAGGAGAGCTAGGCAGCTGCACAGCCCAAGTTGTTTTCCATCACGCTCATTTTTGCTGCATAAATAAATGACATCTGCTATGAAGGACTGTGCACAGCAAACGCCTGCAACCTCAGGGGACTTGTCCGAAGGCCGGGTGAGCCCGGCCAGCCCTGCAGAGCGCGGGACGTGCGGCATGTTTTCGGGGGCTACCTGACAGCCTCTCCCTCCCGTGCATCTAGGTACGCCGGGCTGGGCGACCCGGTGCAGTGCGCCGACTACATCTGGACGCGGGGCAAGACCACGGGCTGCCAGCTGCCGAACCTGAGGCAGGCGGAGTACCTGGACATCAACGTCTGCGTGAACGGGTCGGCGGAGCCCGCGCGGCTGCAACCCTCCTACTTCATCCTCCAAATTAAGAACCTAGGTGAGGTGGGCAGCTCGGCCCGGCCGGGGTTACGGCTGCGGTGCGGGCACGGAGAGAGACAGGGCCGGAGGAGAGGCTGTAGCGGGAGAGTTTCTGTGGACATCCCCTTGGTAAACCACCCGCTCGTTTGCCCCCGCGGTTGCAGGGAGGCACAGGCATGCCCATGCGAGAGGCTTTGGCTTGCACGGTGCAGGGGGTCACACTCTGGCCTCTCAATGACGGGGCTGGAGCAACTGCTGGAGGAAAGGGCCGCGAGCAGGTGTTGCACACGGTCGATAGCGGGGCAGCTCTGACCCAGAAGTTCCTAAACCCCCAATGCTGGAGGCTGCGGTGGGGTAGTAGGAGGGGGTGGACGGTGCTGGACATGCCCCGTTCACCCTCCCCATCAAGCAGACTGAAGGTCTGACCCGGCCCAGGGCAGTTCCCACGTCCGTATGAGACGACAGTGGTGCCGCGCCGATCCGGTCGGCGGGGCGAGGTCCACCCCCTTGGATCCACGAGGCGATGAACAATAACCATAACTTTGCCATAACACGCGTGAGGGGTTAAGGTGCACGGTGCTCTGAGCAGGAGAGACGTGCCGGGCCGAGGGAAAGCGGCCCGTCCGGAGAAGCAGCTGGTTCGTGTCTCTCCTAAGGGCCACGTTCAGAGGAGGGTGTGGATGTTTCTGCAGAATTACCTCTGAGACGTAAGCGCTGGCTTAGCCATAGCGTGGAGGATGCTGCAGGATGCCGTTAGCCTGTCTGCTGCCCTCTGCTCGGCCGGTCCCAGCGTGTCCTCGCCGTCCTTCAAGGACGGTGCCTGCCCCCCGACCGGAGCAGATGAGCGTAGGAGTATGAGCATCGCATGTGGGGTCAGACCAAAGGGCTGTCTGCGAGCACGACAAGTTGCAGATGCCTTCAAGGGAAGCAGGACACGTGCTAGGAAGCGTGCTTTATCCTCGCGCCAGGCCCCTCGAGCCTCGTAGTCTGGCTCCGAGAGCGGCAGGAGCAGATGGTGGAGGGGGGAGCACCGAACCGGGCATAGTCAGGGTGATCCATCCCCTATTAAAGAGGCCAGAGGACACATCTCCAACCCTTCATTTCCACAGCCGTTAACAGACCTGTCATGCAGGAATTTATCCAGTCCCCTTTTGAACCTGGCCGTGCGCCTCCTGTGGCAATGAGTTCCACGAGTGAACAACATGTTGCATTTAAAAAAGCACTCTCTCTTGTTAGTTGTAAGCCCGTCTCTTACCTAATTTCACCTCGGTGCCCGCAAGAGCAGGGCAAGCCGGAGCCAACGTGCAGGCTCTGTGCCGGTCTCACGTGCAGGCCCTTCCACTTCAGCTGCAAGCGTGTTTGAACGGAGGCACGACCTGCAGCAAACTGGATTTCGGAGCAAAGCTCCAGCCCCGGAGTTAAGTTCAATGCTTCTCCCTGTCTGGCCTCCGCTCGGGTCAAGGTCACCAAGCGGGTTTCCATGGGACAAGCATGCTCTGTAACGAGCTGCCCTGGGGGAACGAGCTGACGGGTTCCCATGGACTGGACTGATTGCTTATCATTATTCCTTCTAGTAAAACCTCCTCCTCCTGAACGGCTGGCGCTTTCCATGTCTGCTTCCAAGGAAATCCACGTGCAATGGAGCTCTCCGGAAGGAGGAACCCCCCCCGAGTGCCTGGAGTACGAGGTGCAGCTCCAGGGCTCGGACGGCCACGCGGACGCCGCCTGGTCGGTAGGGATCACGCTCGTGTTTACGGCTCGGCCACTCGACAGCAGGTTCCAGTTAGGGAAAGCAAAGGGAGGAGTAATTAAAGCCAATTCCTGGGAAAGAGAGTGAATGCTGCAGCTGAACACGTCACCTGGCCCCCGTCCTGCTTTATTATTTACTCAGCTGGGTAATGGGCTGGTGCGTTAGCTGATGCCGATGCCGTGCGGTGCAGGACAGGGTGGGTTCCTGCTCCAGGTGGCCAAGAGCAGCTGGGCCTCCAGGCCCAAGTTATGCTGAATGTAGACAGACGTTATCACAACAGGGCATGTTCACATGTGCGTGTTGCCTTCCCAAGAGGTCCGGTGGCAAAGAGCGGCACGTGAGCATGACAGCAGCAGCAGAGCCTGCCCATGCAGGTCTCTGACACGTCGCTGTGTCCACGGTGCTGCCTGGCTCCAAGCAACATTTTCACTGAAATCCCCAGAGCATTTGGTCTGATGGACCCATAGCACCGATTTCTGCGCAGACCTAGGCAGCAACGTGTGGGCAGCATGCATTGCCTTGTGCATTGCTCACGTGCAGATGCATGCCTTGTCAGATGCTGAGTAGGAGTTCGTTTTATGACAGACCCCACTAATTAGCAAGAATAAGTGGTGGGCACGATCTTTCGTGTGGCATGAAGACCTTTTTTTTTGTCAGTCGTTTCATGCCTTTCATCAGATGACCAGCCTGGGGTTTATCCCCGATCACTTTAAAACAGAGATGGAGTTCGGGTTTGCAGAAACGCTGGATGGAGCCAGAGCTACGTGCTGTTACCTGACCTTCCCCTTGTATCCTCTTGCTTTGCAGTCTGCGTCCACCCAACTGGAGACTGCCTTTGTCTTCTCCCAGGCCAATGGGACTCGCTTGTCCTGCGTCCGCGTCCGCGGGAGAACAAACACCTTCTGTGCCGACCAGGGCTTTTGGAGCGACTGGACGCAGGAGTGCTTTTATGGTGAGAGACGTGGGTCCTGGCAGCAATCCTTAGCGGTCCCGAGACCTGCAGATCCAGCTCAGAGCTGGTTTTGCGGTGCCGAAGCACATTGCAAATATGGGCTGCATCACCCTCGCCCATCCCCTGCCCCGCTGGGAAGGGGGAACTGCCCTGTTATGGCCACAGAGCCTGGCCTGGAGCAGGGGGTTGCGGCATTGTTGAGCTGGGAGCTCAAACAGCGGAGAACCAAGGAGCGAGGGCTTCCCTGGGTCCGGCTCCATGCAAGCTTCCTCTTGGTCTCCCCGTGGCATGAAACCGTTCGCATGAAAGCTGGATGGAAACCAGCGCTAGAGTTGTGACACATGGTCAAGCACTGACTTTGGTTGGCTCTAGTTATAGCTGGAGAGTCGTTTTCCCAGTGTGACAATTGGCACACACGGGCGGTCTAAACGTATTGCACGATTTACCAGTTAATTGTGTCATAATGACTTATGGCTTGTGGGCAGTCTATATTTACTGCGTGTTGAAGCAGTGAATTGCGTAATGTATGCAACGTGTAACGGGGGCCTTAGACACGAATGAGGTTGCTCCACAAGGCAAGGGAGCCCACTGCTGCTCTGGTTTGCACCCCAAGGCCGCCTCGGGCGCGATGGAGGACTCCCTTCCCCTCACCTGGGAGCCCCTCTGCATCACCTGGCCACCTGCACCCGGCTGCAGGGCGTGCAGCGAGGGGCACTTCAGATCACTGGGCAACGGGCAGACTTGTAACAGGGGGTTATTGCCTTTCTCCCAGACTGGGAAAGGCAGAGTCTGTGCAGGCAGCCAAGGACCTCAGGGCAGGTTGAGCAAGCAAAGCCTCTGAGGAAATAAAAGCTGAGAGGCAGCACTGGTGGGAAACCCCTAGCCCCGGGGCAGTGGCTGGACGAGTGGAGGCACGTAGCAGCTGCTGCACGGGGACTGTGCCCGGCGCACTGCACAGCTAACTCCCTTCCCTTCAGCTCACCCATCGTCTGGTGGGCGGAGGCGGAGGCTGCTGGCCACGTCCTGCAGTGCACAACAGGCCCCTGCTCCAGGGCATCTACGGTTGCAAAGGTAGATGGGGAAAGTGAATCGGCTGTCCTGCTCGCTGCCTCCCTTCCCTGAGGCCGCCCGCAGCATCGAGGGGAGCTGCCTCGCTCAGCAACGCCGTGTGCAAGCAGCGTCCTCCCCCCGTGAACCAAGGCAGGCACAAAGGACTGTGGGGTGAGCGGGGGCAGGCGTATTGCCCAGTGACCCCAGACGGCACTAAGGGCTTCAGCCGACCTGCCCTAAACTGGGGGGACCAGGCGGGCTGCGTGCCCCACTGCGTGGCAGGCGCCGAACCCGATATGAGCTGTTTGTGCTCGGGTTGGATTCCTGTTTTTATGGAGCTGCCAAGGTGGGACAGAGGGCCGGGGTCTGCAGGGGGGCCTTTCCTTTCATTGAGCCAACCTCGGCGCTCTGTCTGGAAGCTGGAAGTCTAACTTCCTTTAGTAAATAGATACTACGGGCCCCACTTCTCCCTGGTCCATAGATGTGCATCCAGACTAACACCAGCCAGCTGACACCAGAGCAGCGGTGGGCTCCCTTGCCTTGTGGGGAAACAACATTAATGTTTTTTTATAAAAGCTTCTTTTCCTTATGGAAATGAAGGTGGTGGAGGGTGGGAGGAGGGAGACCCAGCTCAGCAAGTCGCCGGCGTCTGTAGTTTTGCATTGAATAGAGTGCGTGTCTGGATACCACGTGGAAGGACTTAAATATCTGGTAACGTTCGTGTAATGCTGCCAGGATCCTGTAAGGACAGGGACGGGGATGGGGAATAATGCAAACGTCCAGGTGACCCTGAATCATCTTGCAGCCAGCACTCCCCCATCCCCTTGCAAGGCAATGTGACCCCTTTCTGAATGCAGGGATCCCTTCATCGTGCTTTGTGGCTTGTCTTCGCAGTGCCCAGGGAAGACGAAAAGCAGCTATTCATCCTCGTGGCGGTCGTCTTGAGCTTCTTCAGTGTCGTCCTGGTGATCGTCTTTGCTGTGCACCGCAAGAAGAGGTGAGTGCTAAGGCAGCCCCGTGCCCTCGGCCTGTTCTGGTGGGATTGAACAGTTAAAAAGGGAGCAAAGTCATGTATCCGATAAGATGCTGCTGAATTTTGCCTCCGCTGGCAGTGATCCAGGAGCAAGTTTGAGCCTGGGAATTGCCCGGAACAAGAGTCTGGCTTCCCAAACCAGCAACAGATACTAAATATGGATGTAAATAGTTGTCAGTGATCCACCCTGAGGCGTGTCACCCACTGGTTTGGATGCTTAGCAAGATGAGCTTGGCTGTTTCCGAGCAGGCTTGCTCCATAGATGTTTCTGGGAAAACTCGTAGGGTTTGAGGTGCAATGTCCTCAACTCTGGGGCAGATCCACCTAACGGATGTGTTGCACCACCGTGAATCGAGACTCTCTCCATTGATTTCAGTTCATCCGCAGAATGAAAGCTCGCACTTTGTCATAGTTTCATAGTTCATAGATGTTAGGGTCAGAAGGGACCTGAGCAGATCATCAAGTCCGACCCCCTGTTGTGGGCAAGAAAGGATGCTGGGGCCAAATGACCCTGGCTAGGTGATTATCTAGCCTCTTTCTGAAGCCCCCCAGGGTAGGAGTGAGCACCACTTCCCTTGGAAGTTGGTTCCAGGTCCTAGCCGCCCTGACAGTGAAGTAGCGCCTCCTGATATCTAGTCTGAATCTGCTCTCCGTCGACTTATGGCCATTACAGCTAGTCACTCCTGGTAGTGCTCGGGGGAACAGGGACCCCCCCAATGCCTGCTGGTCCCCCTGACTAGTTTGTAACAGGCCACTAGATCCCCTTCAGCCTTCTCTTGTGAAGGCTGAACAGGTTCAGGTCCCGTCGCCTCTCCTCGTAGGCCCCGCCCTGCTGCCCCTGATCATGCGAGTGGCCTCCTCTGGACCCTCTCCATGCTGTCCACATCCCTCCTGACGTGCGGCGCCCAGACCTGGACGCGGTACTTCAGCTGCGGTCTGACCAGTGTCGTGTAGAGGGGGAGGATCACCTCCCGGGACCTGCTCGAGATGCATCTGTGGATGCACGACAAGGTGCGGTTAGCCTTCCTGACTGCATCCCCACACGGTCGGCCCATGTTCATCTTGGAGGCTATAATGACTCCAAGATCCTTTTCTGCCTCTGAAAGGGATGTAGGTAGGCTGTAGGTTCTTCCTGTAGGTGTGCTGCTGGTTCTTCCTCCCCAGGTGCAGCACCTTGCACTTGTCAGTGTTGAATCCCATCCTGTTCTCATCCGCCCACCCCTGTGACCTGTCTAGGTCCGATTGCAGCCTGTCCTCTCTTCTAGCGTGCCCACATCTCCCCACATCTTAGTGTCATCTGTGAATTTGAACAAGGTGCTTTTCACCCCCTCGTCCAAGTCACTGATGAAGATGTTGAACAGTGCGGGTCCGAGGACCGAGCCCTGGGGGACCCCGCTGCCCACATGCCTCCAGATCGAATAGGACCCGTCCACCACCGCTCTCTGGGTGCGACCCTCCAGCCAGGTACCGACCCACCTGACTGTGTAGGTGTCGATGCCACCCTCCCCTAGTTTTTTAATGAGAATGGGGTGTCGAAGGCCTTCCTGAAGTCCAGAAAGACTATGTCCACTGCTACCCCTGTGTCTAAGGATGTTGTACCTGGTCATAGGAGGCCACCAGGTTGGTCTGACAGGACCTGCCTCGAATGAACCAATGTTGGTTGCCCCTAAGCATACACTCCCCTGCTTGCCCCTCGCAGATGTGCACCTGGATATTTTTCTAACAGAGTTTTCCCAGGACTGAGGTAAGACTAACAGGCCTATGGTTTCCTGGGTCCTCTTTCCTCCCTTTTTTTGAAAATGGGGACCACATTGGCCCTTTTCCAGTCCTCTGACACCTCACCAGAGCACCACGAGTGCTTGTAATGCCGTGCCAGGGGTCCCGCGGTGACCTCTGCTAATTCCCGCAGCACCCTGGGGTGGAGATTGTCAGGACCTGCTGATTTGAACACGTCCAGTCCCTCCAGGAGTTCCCCAACTAGGTCCTCTCTGACCCTGGGCCTGGATGTGCCTCCCCTGGGACCATCAGGGATCCTGGTGGGGGGGATGACCTGGTCCCTGCTCAGAAAAATGGAGGCAAAGAAATTGTTTAATAGGTTAGCTTTGCCATCTGGTGAGATACCAGATTTCCTAGCGTGTCCTGCAGAGGCCCCACGTTACCCAGAACCTTCTTTTTACCTGCTATGTATTTAAAAAAGGATTTCTTGTTATCCTTGATCCGGGTCGCTAGTCCCAGCCCCATCTCCGCCTTGGCCTTCCTGACCTACAGTCCCGAGCACCAGAGGTGTAGTCCTCCCTGGGGATGGCCCCTCCCTGCCATCGGGTGTATGCCCCCTTTTTGGCTTTGAGACGTTCCTGGATTTGCACTTCTTTAAAGTTTTTTGTATGTGAAATCAAACTTCAAACACAAATTTGATGCCGAGACAGTAAATATCCCTGCTGGGGAACAAATGAACAGAGGAATACATCAGCTAGAGCTCGCTGCAACGGGTCCAGCGGAGAAGCTTTCTCCGAGAGGCCCCGGGCAGCGGCCGTAGAACAGGCCCCATCACGTGCACGTTGTTCGTGTTCGTACTACGTGCATTTTACACGAATCTTACTGTCGCTTTCAGAGCGCTAGCAGCAGAAAAACTGCAGCTGCCAACGGGATGCTAACGGCGCCGGCAGGACCCCAGCGCAGCTCGTGGGATGGACGGCTCGGAGAACCTCAGCCCAGAAGCAGACCTGAACTTTGTAAGTCCTTCGGAGGGCTTTTCTACTTTCTTCCCTTTACGATGCTGTCGTGGCATGAAAACGCGTGAGTCCCAGGAGCAGGTCGGAGGAGAGGAGCCTCTAAACTGACATTGGAGTCATTTCTTTTTAATAACGTGGCGAGGGTGGAAAAGCAGCCAGGAAAGGAGACGGGGAATGCCGCCAGCGGTTGTGCTTCGTGTTTTATAAGTCTGTGCGGAAACGTGGGTCGCGCAGTGGAGATGGAGGATGCAAATTTCGAGTCTGGAGGCTGTTGTGTGAAATGCTGCCGTGTCTCGATGCAACTGCCCGCTGTACAGCACGCTCCCCGATAGCTCCTCCGCCCTGTTCCCTGCGCACCTGGTCTGCTCATAGCTTGCGTTGAAGCTCGGTGTTCACAACCCATTGCCCCGTGCCATCTGCTGCACCCCAGCTGTTTGCCACGGTGGATTGAGAGGTCTGGTGCAATTGGTTGTGACGCTGACCCGCCGGTTCGTGAGCCAAATGGGTCCGGGCCTCCACTGCCAAAGGTCAGCAAGGGAGGAAGACCGGGCGCTGGACCTGGAAAGCAAGGCTCCTAGAGCAGAAGGGCTCTCCGCCCAAAGAAGCATCCCGCCGATGAAATGCGTGACCTGCTACGTGGAGTAGACACGCCGTAAGCATGATGCTCCGGTCATATCCGTCACCAAAGCTGGGGTGAGTTCTGCAGAAATACATCCACTGCCTAACTGCACCCCCCACAAATGAGTATCCTGGGGCAGGGTCTTTGCTGTCTGGTGAACGCATCTTCGGGGCCTGGTGTTCGCATCACGGTGGGGATTTTCACCGAGGAGGGGAAAGCGGATCTGGTTGGTGGTGAGCTGAAATGCACGGTGCTGTGCTAATCCAGCCAGAAAAGGACCTTTCACACCTCTTTGGAGGGCCATCGAGACATCCCAGGGCTGCCCAGGCTCCAAGCAAAAAGCGATTTGGGGAACGAATGAATACGGAGCGAGGCAAAAGCTCGCAGGCGGTGCACAGGCTGGACAAGGAGGATGCCGTGGTATTTGCTGATCGAGCTTTAAACCTGAGCCAGGACTGTGCCGGTGACTCGCTTCCTCGACTGGGTGGTGAAAGGGTTGGTGGCCAGAGCCGGAAGGAAGGGTAGGGCTAAAGTCTGGCACATAATTGCTTTTTAAATCAGTCAATAAGGCTTATTAGCTGACAGCGGAGGGACTGGCTGTGCAGGGTTGAGTCCTGCGACAAAGGAGGTGAAAGCAGACGTGGCGCCAGGGGTAGGATGGGAAACCAATCCCAGAGACGCCGTGTCCTGTACTGCGGAGGCTGTTTGGCTTCGGGACAGCTCTTAAACATGCCGGCAGACCGCGCCGTGTCAGAGGAATGACTGCTCCAAAGTAAACACGCTATTTCCTTTCTTACTCGGCTCGTCGCATGTGAAACAGGTGAGCGTGCTAACGACGGGCTGGAGCCAGCCAGCCAGCATGCATGCCCAGGCACGAGGAGCTGTGCACGCGCATGGGGGGTGTACAGACAACTGGCAGGTGGGACGCTGCCACTTTGCACGTGGCCATTAGAGACGCGTTGCTTGTCGTTTGGGTGCTTAGACGGTCAACACGCTACTGCTATGGACAGACTGGGGCTAGACCCCGACCGGGCCGAGCGCTGCAAGAAGTTGCAGATGTGCCCTGCACGTCACTGGCAGGCTAGCTCGTTAGCATTGTGTTCCCCCAGGGCTAATGAGTCCTGCTCGAGTGAGGTACATCAGCCTTTGCGGGCTGGCGACTGGCGACACGTTCTGCACAGCCCAGGCTACGCAGGCGTGCCAAGGGCAAAGGTGCTGGCACTGGCTCTGGATTTAACACGCTTCCAGGGCACGTGCACAGCCGTGCAATTGTTTCCATTCCTTTCCATTCATTTACCTAAGAGAAAACACCAAGAAATCATGAGCCACCAGGCTACGCAGGCGTGCCAAGGGCAAAGGTGCTGGCACTGGCTCTGGATTTAACACGCTTCCAGGGCATGTGCACAGCCGTGCAATTGTTTCCATGCCTTTCCATTAACACCAAGAAAACATGAGCCACAACCAATGTCAGGCAGCAGGTCTCTGACTCTCCCGTATGATGCAGCCACACCAAGGAAGTTGCCACGACCTTTTGGAAGAACAAGTTTCACGACACACCTTAGCATTCAAATGGGTCAGAAAAGCTAAATGTGGATTGCAAACACCTCCGAGCTCGGCAGCCTCCGGCTCGGGGGGGTTTGACTCTCCTGTGATATAGTCTGGCTCTGACTCTTGCCGAAGCCCAGTGAAGGGACCCAAAATGCAGCCCTCCTTCATTAGTCTCAACATCAAGTATTGCACCTTCTGGACAGAAAAAGGCGACGGTCTCTTAAAGATAATTTATCAGCATTGTTGCATCTGTTTCATTCCTGGTACTTCTGTTACTGCCTGGGTGTTTCCTTGCTACCCTAAGTTATCGTACATACTAAATTAATACACTAATTTCCCACAAAAATCAATGGCCAAATGCCTCAGAGTGATGTTCTTGTTGCACTGGGGAGGGGGGAACGTGAGCACAGTAAAATAAGACATTTAGTAGCTGCCATAACGAAAAAAGAATATGGCAAATGCAAAAGGTTTCGTTGTGCACCACTGCAAGTAACGCTCACACAAACCTGCCGGGCCCGTGCCCGTCCTTCGGGCATAACTAGACCTAAAGGACAGACAAAATGGCATGGGTCTGCAGTGCCCAAAGCCAGAGGCAGCCCAGGAGACTCTTGAGAGGGCTGAGTTGAAGGAGGCAATCCCTGGACCAAGGTCCTCATAAGGGGCCGAGTGGCACAGCTTCCTCTTTGCTGATTTACACCAGCTGAGAATATGATGCATCCTCCAAGGGCTAACCCACATAAGCCACAAGATGCTGGCCTTTGGAGGAGGGGGACATCGAGGCCACGGGGCATCGGGAGAAGACGGGGAAACGTAGGGAGCAAGGACACGGGGCGACGCAGCAGCCGTGCATTGCAGGGCGCTCTCCTGCCCTGCGCAGGGCACCGAGGAGGGCTCCTCCCTCTTCCCCTTTTCCGATGCAGCGACACAAAGAGCCTGGATCTTGGAGCGAGGGCAGGGCAGAAGGCAACACAGCCCCCCTCGCACTCACTGGGGGTGGGCAGGAGGTATAAACCCCTCTCCTGTCCCGCGCACTTTTGTCACGGCCTGAACCCCAAACAGCTTCCTGCTGGAGAAAGGGCAGGTGCGGCCGCTCGTGGGTCTCGCCCAGCTCCAGGGCCGCTGGGGTCACGCCGGTCTATCGCAGGGACCCCGCATAGGTGCACGCGTGAAGCAGCAGGTGCCTGAGCTTGAGCATCAAGCTGTTGTTACTACCCCTCATTTCCCCGTTCCCCTTCGGCATGCATGCATGTGCGCGTGCATGCACGTGTGTGCGCGGGTGCGCGTGCATGCATGGATACACAGCACACAAACCCCACTCAAGTTCTGCCTGGTCTTTTGTAACCGACTGTCCCCCTCGGGCTCCAAGACACCGGCTGGCAATGCCCATGCTCATGCTGGCCTGGCTGGACGGCCGATCCTGCACCCCGTGTGATGTACAGACGCCACCCAGGCCACACGCCTGCCCGGCAGATCACATGCCACGTCCACACCTGTATCACTGAGGGGAAATGGGTTTTACTGGAAAAGCCTGTGTGTCGCAGCATCTCAGTGCAAACACCGCTACCCCGTGCTGCTTCTCACACCGCACGTACACACCCCACCGCACTCAAAGGCTTTGTCATGCTTGTACAAAGGACCGTGCCTGTGCACATCCTGGCGCTTGTGGCGGCTTGCTCTGTTTGATTGATAAAGCCTTAGAGCCATTAGTTAAACTACAAGCAGCAGCAACAATTGTTCCTAAGGGAGCTTCCCTCGGAGAACGTCAATACTTGTCAAATATTTGAAAACAAGCTTGTGAGCGGGCTGCGGGGAAATGAAAATCAATACGTGCGGCTGTCAGCTGCTCGCGGCGCTCAGGAAGCAACAAAGCAGAGACGGCGAATGTCGATTTTCCTAATGGCATGCGACGGCTGGCGCGCGAAGCACCTTCGTGTGTGCTATGCCATGGCGTTGCAATGCCTGAAAGCGGTGGGCGAAGGCTGGGAAATGCAGCCTTCGTGTCTGCATGGTGGGTCTTTCCTGCCAGGACCCTGGACTCTGACTTTGGGGAGGGTTGGCTTGTTAATGTGAGAAAAGGGACAGCAACTGAGGAGGTGCAAAGCCGCAACAGGGCTCTTTATACCTCCAGGGAGGGAGGGAAGGCAGGCCAGGCTGCTTCTCTCGCTCGCTCGGGAAGTATTGCTACCGACTCCTGGATCCTCGCAGAGGCTAAACTCCTCTTGACTGCTGGGTGTCAGCCTCGGCGCTCGCATCGAGCGGCCAGACTGCGGCCGGTGCCCAGCAAAGGCAGCAAGGCCAGAGTGGGGGTGCAATTAGCTGCTTTGCTGCAGCTGAGGTCTTAGTTTGACAACAGCTCCGAGTCTGTCCCAGACCGGGGTCCTCCGCGGGCGAAGGCTTCCCCTGCCACAGCTGGAAATGGCCCCATGCACCTGGGAGCAGCCAGGGCGCCGCACGGCCACCCTGAACCCTCCAGCCGTGGCCGCGTGCGCTGGGGCCGGGGTTGTGGCCCTGCCGACAGAAAGCAGCTGGGCCTCGTGTCGCGGAGCTGGGGACGCAGCGCCCGTTTGGCAAAGGCCCCTGCCCAAACCTGCGGGACGCACAGCACCGCGGAGGGATGCTGCTCCCACACGGCTACTTGCTCAGTGCTGCCGGGGGCACTGGTTTCAGGAGCAATGGGGACACCTCGCTCTGTCTCTCCCACCCCACGTTGCACCCACGCATGGGCCATGTGCACCCTTGTGCTTGCAAGGCAGCTGGCAGGGGTGAGGCCGCTCGTGGGCCGAGGCCACCGCCGCTCTGGCCCCTTGCATGCCCGCACCCAGCGGGGCCTGTCCCACTGCTGCTGCGTCTCCTCTCCTCTGTGCCAGCTCCTGCACACAGCTGGCGAGCCGCCCTACTATTGCGTTCGTGGCTCCGGCGGTGCCAGGCTTTCCCCTCTCGTCTGTCATCCTTGCTCGCCTTCCCCCTTTGCTCTCCGCACCTCTGCGCGGCGATGCTCCCCCTGCTCCGGTCCTCCGACAGGGCCGCGGCCCCAGCCCTTCCAGCATCCCAGGCACAGCTGTACTCTCCAGCTTGCCTCGCTCTCCTTCTCTCCCCTTATCCCTCGGCTTCTGCCTCTTCGCCGCCCTTCCTCCTACCTTCCCCGTGGCTGTGTCAGAGCAGCAGCATCCCTGCGACAGAAACCCGAACCCAGCCCTTTGACCCTGCTCTCGCCCTTCACCGCAGTGCAACGCCTCCCTTTAGCTGTGCCCCGTGGCGATCCCCATTTCCTGTCGTTTGCCCCAGTTTCCTTGGTATTTAATCCATCCTGGAGGTGGGTTTTGGGTGGTGGAGGCCGGGCAGAACAACTCCGGAGCCCTGCATCACGTTGCGATGTGCTGTGAAGGGCAGGACTGAGCTACCTCCTTTCCCGGGTGAGAGGTGCAGAAAGTCCTGCAGGAGATTAAACAGGATACAGCAGCCAGGCAGACCAGTTTCTTGGCAGCTCTGTCTCTCTCCCCGCACTTCTCTCTGTTGGGCAGGTCCTGTCCGTGCTTTCAGACTCGTGTCACGGTGACCTGGCACGCAGGACCTGCCTCAGGCAGCTGCATCACACAATCTGTTCGTAAATACAGCTATCTCTGTCTGGAAATGGGTCAAGAACATAGGAATTACCATGGACTGGGTCAGACCCTACGTCCGTCTTGCCCAGTCTCCTGCGTCACACGGGCAGAGGCAGAAAGGGAGGTGGCTGGGTCTGAGCAGGGTTTCCCCTGTTCCTCTCCCACTTGCAGCCTCCAGCATTGAAGGTGGAGGATGCAGAGGCCGTGCCCCTCGGCCCTGTGCTCAATAACTACCCATGCCCTTTCCTCCAAGAACACATTCAATCCTTTTTTGAATCAGGCTACGTCGTCAGCTTCCACCACATCTGGTGGCCACGTTTTAAAAGCGCCGCGCTTGTACGACAAACTGGGTAGACAAGAATTGCCTTGCATTCATTTCAAACTGATGGCCTCCTAGCTTCACTTTGTGACCCCTAGTTGTGACTGCGCAGACGGGGCCAGCGCGCCAACCGTACAAATATACCTCAGGAAGGAGCCCCCCGCCCCAGCAGTAATGCACACAGCTGCGTGTTTTAAATGCCAGTTGCATGCTTGTCAGGTCCAGGAGTTTCAAGTTTTATCTGAGGCCGTTTCAAAGCAGCCCACGTAGAAGGCGAGGCGGATTTGCAATTTGCAGACTGACCCAAGTTTGTGTGTGTATAGATATAGATATAGCAGTGTATAGCTACAGATACAGCTATAGATATAGGTATAGTGGTGTATAGATATATCTATAGATCACACACTTTCATGAGCTGAAGCTAACTTCATCAGCTGTTAAGAAAGGACATGCAGAAAGCTGAGTAGAAGACAGCTTGAGCAATGGATATAGCTATCTACTTTGGTTAGTCCATAAGGTGCAAATCTACTCTGCCTGGTACCTGACTTCAGACAAGCGTGGCTAGCCTGGTCTGTATTGTCCTGTAGACAGATGGAGAGTCCACATGAAGACGCCCAAAGATCTTTCTGCTTTGAATTGACATCTGTCATCTTGCCAGGAGAGAAGAGGTCTGGACAAAGGGACAGATTATAGGAAATGAAACAGCAGGAAACTTACTGCACGTCCGGGGCAGCAGTCCACGGGTCTGCTTTACTCCAAGGTGAGGTCCTGCTCCGCTGAAGAAGGGGCCTCGGATTAAAATCATCATTGGCTCTGATTAGACTCCTCAATGAGCCACCAGCTTCATTAGC